TGCTCTGGCAGGGTGGTCACCTTCTTTCCTGATCTGCTGCTCTGACCACAGGGCTGGCCAAAGGGTCCACTGGCCGGCCAGTCCCAGCCGCTCACAACGGCCCACTCCTGCGCCCACCGAGACTGCCCACGGAAGGCCCGGGGACGCACCTGGGGCCCGAATCCCATCTCGAGAGTGGAGCGAGAAAACTGGTCCCTCACCCCTTGTTGACAGGGACCGTGAGAATGGGGGCGGCAGGGGTGGGGTGGGGGGGTGGGGGCTGCTGGCTGCCACTCTCCCCGGCAGAGAACAGCGGTCCTGGGACCGTGAGCAAGAAGCAGACAGGGGACCCTTTGTTCATCCCTCTCCTTGCTGTCCCGAGACCTAATTGCTCAGCTATGTTGTCACTGCGGAGCCGACCCCAGGACCCCGCCGGCCCGGCTCCTCCCTTGTGTGTGTGGCTGGAGCTGGTGCGTCATCTGCACGGGAGACAGACGGGAGGGGTCCTGGTTCACGTCATATCTGCAAACCAAAGGCCGCAGTCCTGCAGCGCAGACCTGTGACACAGTGGCCGCCGCAGGGTGCTGCCTGCCTGTCTGTCCTTGCTGGCCGATCGTCTCAGCCGGAGGGAAGCCGCAGGGGACAATGTGTTGCTGGCACTCTGAATTCTGTCCTGAAATTCCTCCTCACTGATTGGCTCCCCACCGCCTTTTGGCTACCCCCTGAAAATCGATGCAAGCTGGAATGCATTTCTCTTCCCAGGAAGGCGAACTCCGACCTCCCTAAATTTACAGACTCCTGTTTGCCGGCTGCCCCTCGGGACAGTGATTTGTTTATTTTACATGACAAATACGTGCAGAACACTTGCTTTGAGCCAGGTGTTGTGCTAAAAATTTAGCTCATTTGCCCCGAGGTGGGTACTATTATTATCTCTGTTTGCAGTGAGGAAGCAGAGGCCCACGGTTGTGCAATTTGCCTGCCTGCGGTCACAGAACGGGTTTGCAGGGGGCTGGGGTCAGTGCCTGAACTTTATCAGCGCCAGGGGGGTGCAGGGGCAGCTGTGGGTCACAGTGCAGGTTCCTGGGACCTGCTGGTTCAGAACCAGCTCTAGAAAGGGCAGACTCTTTAGATTTTTCCGGTTTTTTTTTTTTTGCATTTATCAAGCATTCCTGGTCTCTCATCGGCAGCCTCTGGCAGTCTTGCGTTTGATTGAGGGTACACGGCATTGTCTGCGACTTTTGTGATAGAACGAGATTCCGCCGCATGCGGGTCTGACATTTAAGTCAGGATGATAGGAAACATCTACCCGCAGGCATTCTCGAGAGACCTGAATCCCGAAGGGGCTGTGCCTGGCTCCTTGCAAAGGCGCGGGGGGAACATGCTGGGGACAGGCCTGCCCCAAGAACGTGCTCTCCGGCCCGTCCTCGGCATCCCTCGCCCTGCCGCCCGGAGAAGGCGAATCCGCCACAAGTCCCTGGCTTGGATGTTGACCGTCCGGTTCTCCGTGGGATCGCCCTCCGTCTTCCTCTCTGTTAACTAGCTCCCATCCCAGCTCAGCCCGCCGCAGGGAGGGCGTCGCCCCCACCAGGCCCCCAGAGCCTCCGGTGCGGAGGTCACAGGGCCACCCGGACACCCTGGGATCCGGAGGAGGTTACGGGGGCGCCCTCCAGAGCCGGCCCAGCTCGGGCGGACCCTGCTTCGGGCACCCCGAGGCCCCGCATCCTGCAGAACTTGCCTGTGCTCCTCCTTGATCTCGTCTGGGGCGCGGGCGTGAGGATGGCACCCACACCCTCGGGGGACACCCGGGGAAATGCTCTGTTCACAACTGTGTCGGCGTGGGGGGGCAGCTCGGGGGTACACGGGAGGAGCTAGTCAGCCCCGAACCCACGGCATTCCCAGGCCCTTGCGGCCTGGGCCTCAGGGTGGCGACGGACGGGAGTCACCCAGCCACGATGGCCTGCCAGGCACCGTGCCGAGTGAGCGCCTTACGAACACGAACTCATCTAACGCCCGCCTGGAGCAGTGGGCGAGGCAGGTGCCCTCACGCTGTCCGGCGCTGTCCGGGCACGGTCCGGGCACTGTCCGGGCGGGCGGGAGGCCCGGAGAGCTGGGCGGCTCCCACGGCTCGTGCGGGGCGGGGCGGGCCTGGGAGCCTGGCCACCTGCTTTTAGAGTCTGTGCTGGTTGCTGATCATTTGTTCCTCCCTGAGACTCTTCCTCTGGTTTCCATGGAAACGCCCTCTGTTAACCTCCCTGCCGTCTCTTCCCCGGGTTCTTCTCTCTCTGCTCCTGTCTCGGGCAGAGGTGCCATTTCCTGCTACCCCGTCCAAGGCCACCATCCCCTCTGTGTGCTCTGTGTGCTCCCTCCAGGGTCACCTTCCCTGGGTCACCTGTGTCCTGGCCACTCCCAGACAGATCCTCTCTGTCGCTGAGGGCCTTCCCCCGGCCTGCATTTCAGTGTCCGGTGGCTCCCTGGACACACTCCTGTTCGACGTACACAAAACACTACCTGTGTTATCTTCCCCCCAACAAACATGCATTTCTTCCATTTCATCCTGTGTCTCGGGACGTGGTGCCCCACCCCACCCCGGGGCCAGACACCTAAGGGTCACCTGGAGCTCACGCTTCCCGGCCCTGGCCACTCAGCACCCGCAGCCAGGAGGCTGCGCCCCTGCACGCCCCGGAACCCTGCCCACCAGCCACTTCCTCCGCTGGGGCTCTCGCCCTGGGGAGGACCTCCTGCCCGCCCGGCTGCCCTGCTTCTGATGGCCGCATCTGCCACCTGCCTCCCTCCCCCGCCCCGGTGCCGAGAAAGGTCTGACGTCCCGCTGCTGATGACAAGTCTCCCACACGGCCCCTTCCCTGGACAAGACCAGCCGAGCTCCCGGACTGGACAGGCACAGGTGGAGCCTTCGGGGGCCAGCCCTGCCACCCCCCGGGGTCGTCAGCCCCTCTGTCCACGTGAAGCCCACCGCCGGCTCCCCGGGTCTGAGCTCTGGGCGGGCAGGTGCCCGGGCGGCTGGGTGGCCTCCCGACTGGGGGGGGGGGCTTTCTCCAAGCCTCTCTGGGCGCCGTCCCTTCCCAGGGGTCTCCCTGGTCCCTCTTCCTTCCAGAATCGGATTTTCAGAAAACCACCGAATCCCAGGCCTGACGCAGAAGAGGGGTCGCTCGGGGACCGCAGCTCCCCGCCCACAGCCCGCCCGCTTTCCCTGGCAGAACTGCTTGTCCGGCTGCATAAACCGCTTACGTTTCTTTTGGTTTGTTCACCAGGAGGCACAGACATTTGTTTTTAAGATATAAAGGCATTTGAACACCGAAGTCACTTTAAATAAACCTACTGACATCTTTTCTTGTTCAGGTTTACTGAGGTCTTTATATTAACATAACAGGGATGACGAACAGCCCGGACACCCGGGTCCCCGAATCAAACCCAGGCTTCCCGGGTCCATGTGACTCTCCGGACCCAGCCCCGTGCAGGTGCGGCTTCCCGTCTCTATGGCAACACGCTCCCTGGAACAGCGCGTCTCCCACCTCCTGGTGGGATGACGTCGTGAACGCTGTTCTAGGTTGCTGCTGGCACCCCCCCCAGTCTGCCCTGCCCCCCTCCCTCTCAGCCTCCTGGCTCAGAGGCCAGTGGGCGCTCAGGTGCGCATCTGCCCAGGCCTCCCTCCTCCCTGACCTGCCGTACCTGGGGAGGGACAGGAGGGCCTTCTGGGGCTTCTTGCACAACCACGAGAACACAGGGCCCGCGTGCCTCTCTCCTTCGCTTTTCTCTCCCAACGCCGCCCGGACGTCTCTCCGGCTCACACTCGGAGCTCCCCCTCCACCTCTGAGCCGCCTGAGCGATGGAGAGCCCCCACTTTTCAGCCCCTCCTGTGGCCGAGGGCCTGGGGGTAGCTCCCGGACCCTCGCGGTGGGGCCCCGTGCTGTGCCAGCAGCTCACGTACGCAGCCCCTGCTACCTGACGCTCTTGTTTCTGGGGGACTAAGCCCCCCAGACAGGAACTGTTCAGACAAGGCCGGTGGGAGCATGATTTAAAAATAAACAAATTGCCCCGGCTGGTGTGGCTCAGTGGACTGAGTGCCAGCCTGCAAACCAAAGGGTCGCCGGTTCGATTCCCAGTTGGGGCACATGCCTGGGTTGTGAGACAGGTCCCCAGTGGGGGGTATGCGAGAGGCAACCCCACATCGACATTTTCTCCCTCTCTTTCTCCCTCCCTTCCCCTCTCTCTGAAAATACATACGTGAAACCTTAGAAAGAAACCGCACACAGCACCCCGGCATTCAGTCAGAGAAGTTCAGGAAACGAAGGCAACGAGGAGGCCATTTGACAAGGCCGTTCGTTACCTAGCAGCCTCCGGATGGGAAAAGGTGTGTTTCCAAGCAACTAACTAGCAAGTGTGCACCCGCGAAGGCGAGTTTGTCGGGAGCAGCACAGACGTCAGAGCCTGGCTCGCGGCACCCGAGCGTCCCGGGGCAGAGCCCCGGCCCTCCTGCCCCTGGGAGGCCTCCCCAGTTGGAAGAGAACCGGGATTCCTACAGACGGAGTCCCTGGCCCTGCGAGCTCGGCGCACAGCAACACTTTCACTAAGCCTCCCCTTTAAACGTCGCCCCGGGCCCTGGCTGCGTAGCTCAGTTGGTTAGAGCAGCGTCCCAACACACCGAGGTTGGGAGTTCGATCCCTGGTCAGGGCGCACACAAGACTCCACCAACGAATGCCTCAATAAGTGGAACAAATCTCTCTCTCCCTTCCTTCCTCTCTCCCCTAATCGATACATTAAGAAATTTACAAGTTACGGGGTTCTGTCTAAGGCTGCGCGTGTTTGAAAGAGCACGTATTGGGAGTCAGAACGGTAACCCCTGGCAGCGAGGAGTGCAAAAGGGAAAGCTAGCCCCGTCCCCGCCGCCGCCTCCTTGCTCTGCAGGGTTATGTAAATGCAGGTGCGCGGGCTCCGGGAGCGATGCAGATTGCAGCATTGTTAATGTAATTCTGATCCTCGAGGAGGCCCGTGCGGTGGGTGTGCGGCACTTTCCTGTTCTTTGTCTCACGGGGAAGAACATATTACCACTTAAAAGGAGGCTGACTTTGTGGCTGCCATGTCGTGCGTTACGAGAAGAACAGGGCGATCGACGTAAGAACAGCCGCTGCCTGGAAGTCAGCCTTTGGCAGTGGGGGTGGCCTGGCTCACCGGCCTCCATGGCAGCCAGGGCTGCACAAAGCCGCCTCGGTTTCCAGTGTTGCACAGAAAGAGGAGAGTGAAATACAGGAGCACGATTTTCCCTCCTTGTTCCCTTAAGTTTCTATTAAAAAAACCCCAACAACCTGAGGTATTACGAAGGATGGCTTTTTAAAAACATTGTTATCTATCGATTTTAGAGAGCGAGGAAGGGACAGGGAAACATCGACCCATTGTCCCCCTTGTTGATGCCTTCATGGGTTGGTTGCTTCAGGTGTGTGCCCGACTGGGGATTGAACCTGTGCCTGGTGGGAAGGCACCGCCGCCCGCTGAGCTGCCCAGCCAGAGCTCTTCCGTTGCTATTCTTGACTCCTGGGCAGCATCAGGCAGGACAGCCCCACGTCCTCTCCCTGGTCCCGGCGGCGGCCCAGGCGGCACGCACCCCACAGCAACCCCGCTCCACTGGGAGGCCTCCTGCCCAGGGGCTGGTGTCCTCGCCGCAGCTAAAACGCCGAGAATCGGAACCCTCTAGGAGACGCCCTCTGTGCTACAAACAAGATCTGTGGGCGGCCCGGCAGGAACTGCCGGCGCCCCGAGGGAGGGATCGTGCCTGTGGGAAGTGGGGCGCACTCCCTGCGGTCCCCCCGTTGGTGGGAGAGAATGCGGGGTGCAGAGTTCCAGAAAGCTCAGCGCCAGTTGCAATCTGGCAGTTGGCTGATTCCGGCTGCTCCCAGGGGTGGCCTCTGCAGCGATCGCCGAGGGGCTCACCGTTGCAATGAGCTAGCACATCCACGTCTGTTGTTTTGGTTCTTCTTCCCTTTGGGAAACAGAAAACATGGGATGTTCACCCAGCAGCCAGGGGTGTCTAAAGTTCAGGAGAGTTCAATCCACACGATGGCGACAGCCCGTACAATCTGGGGATAAAAGTGGCCATGGGTGAAGCGTACAGTGATTTTACGTATTATTGTTCACGGTTTACCTTTCACCTGCTTGTGGGGGCATCAGGTGGATGTGGGGGGCGGGGAGAACGGAGGGCCGAGGTCCCTGGGGTGGTCTCCAGTCGCAGACCTTCTAGGGCCCTCAGATATCGATCGGCCCTCTGGGGCCTGTCAATTATGTGCTCAAGGGTGTGTCTGTTGAAGAAAAAGAAGAAAGGGGGGAAAAAAACTTTTCAGATTGAAGCGGCCTTGACTTAAAACCCTTTTCCAGTCTCAGCCCTTCTTTTAAAAGGGAGATTTCTCTGGGTGATCATTTTCCCCTCACGGGAAGGGGCCACGTGCTCAAGTGTAAAATGTGGAACAGGCGGCGCGGAATGCAGAATAAAAATAGGGGGACACGGCCCACATCCTTCCTCCCTTCACCGAGACCCGGGGGAAATGTGACTTGTTCAAAGGCTCCTTTCTCCTGGAGAAAACTGAATCTACAGAGCAGATGAGTTATGGGCGTGATCACGCACCTGACAGAAAGGCCCTCTGGTTTTCCAGGCGTCACGCACGGTTGACGCAAACAGCTGAGTCTCTCGGCGCACAGAGGCCGCAGTGCCCAAGGTCCGATGCACAGGAAATCGCCTTGTACGGCAGCAACTCACCTGCAGCGCACAACAGAGCCCTCCCGTGTCGTAAACGGGGTTAAAACCGGGGTGACCTCTCTTGACTCACTATCTGTAGAAGAAGGTACAAAATGAAGGCCAAGCATTACGACAGGCAGGAGGACTGTCAGCCACCTCACACTTTTTTCATAAATCAAAGAAGAAATATGTTTTTCTTGAATTGTCTAGAAGAGGGGCAAACAAGTAGCCTCCAAAGTGAGGCCCGTCTACGTGGCCTGAATCCCCTGCCCTTGTAGACCTGGAGGCTGGGTGCTGGGTGTCGGGGGTGTCGGTGCGGAGCCTCGGGCGGCACGCGTCCACGGCCACAGGGCTCTCGCCGCACTAACGCTTTTCAAACAGTTATGACCCCGGTGAAAATGTTTTATCATCCGAAAACTCTTTATTGATCTTTGGTACCAACACAAATACATGTGTGGAGTACAGTCGTTTGACTTTCTGAAATATACAGACGCTCAGTAAATTTAATGAAAAAAGAAACTATGCAGATTGCATTGAAAGCTAAGGAGAGTAATTGTAAAAACTATGCGCTGTGCTGTGTTAACGTGAAACATTGATAACAAGGGAAACTACCCAGTAGGAAATGCTCGAACTCCCGGCCCTACCTTCTCAATTTTTCTGTAAACCTGAGATTGTTCTTAAAAAATGAAGTCTATTAAAAGAAACTAACCAGAGGAAAACTTGTTTTTGTTTTATGCCATCTCCTATTCCCGGATCGTCTCCATCCTCTGTGAGATGTAAGAATTCAGAAGTGAAACATGTTAAAATACTCCTGCAACATGTTCCTTCTGAAAGTGTCATATGACTTAACCTATTTGAACCATTTTCAGATTTTAGTCCAGACCCCTGTTTAATTTTTGGTTTGTCAGTACCTAACAAGAACAGCGCAATGTGGATTTTCATTTCCTCTATAAGGCAAAACCGCACAGAAAATTTCTTGTTCCCTATTGTCTCTAATAAGTTTCAAATACATCAGTTTTACTTACTTAAAAAAAATAAGATTTTGGATGTAACAGTGAGATTTCATTTACATTTTACAATTAATTACTCTCTAAAGCTAAGAACTAATAAATAGCCGATTTGGAGAACTTTTATTATATATAAGATTCAGGGGAAAGGTACGCAGTTTTACAACAGCTGGTCACGTGAAATTTTATATCGGCCTGAACTGGCATTTCAAAGCTATTCCTAGTTGTTACCCTAAGTTTGTCCTTTTAGCTGTTTACTTTCACTCCTAAGAGAATGCCTGCCCCGTTGGAGACCGTTACGAATGTATTGCAACTGCTGTAGTCTCAAACATTACAGCTATTCCTGTGATCGCTCTGCTCCCATTTTCCGAGTTTAATTTTTTTCCGTGCCCAGCTTATCTCCCCGAGACCGGGATCCTGATGGTTTTCTCCGTGCACATGCTGTGCGCCCAGCGTGGCGTTTCGCTTTCTCTTTCTAAGCAGCGGCACAGCCCGGGCGCTGTCAGCGATGCTGCGCCGGTGCGCTATCTCACAGATGCTCAAGGTACAGCTGCTAATGCTGAAAAATAGGAAAGCAAATTGACCTTGATGAAGTGTGTCTTCTTTTGTCTGTTCCCAGGAAAGTTTATTTCAGGTGTTTCTGCCGCGGAAATGATTAGCGCTAACAGCTCTCCCCCTGCGTCTTCTTCTACAGGGTCTCTCCATCTTCCTGATATATGGGGTGTGCGACGCGGAGGCAAGTCTGCTCCGAGTGTCTCAAGGCTGACAGGGTGAATGAGAGAAGTGACAGGTTTCTTATCTTGATAACCGAGGAACAAAGTTGGCGTTGCGCAGGAGTGTCCGACTGCCCTTCATGCTTGGACCGGCTCATATGCACCCGGCTCCCCATCAAACACCGGCGCCCGGATCGCGGGCACGGCCTCATTTCTCAAAGGCACCGACTCATATTTTACCGCTGCCTGGAGTTTCTGAGTCCCCGGTCTTTCTTTTAACACTTAACTAACTGCGCCCGACAGCATTCGAGTCCCATGGGGCCGGTGGCAGAACGCTGTGTCGTTGCGTGCAGCTAGAAAAACGCGAGTGTTTCTTATCTCACGATGCTCATTAAATACTGTCTGTAAGTGTTGAGCAGACCCAGAGAGGGGCCCATAAGGATGCATTAATAATCTTGATGGCTTCAGTGGTGAAATTTCTCAGAAAAGTCATTTATTACTGAATTATGAGAAGGGGTTTAGCTAGAAATATTGCGTTAAAAACGCACTGGTCGTGTCATGAAGAGAATATGTTACGCAAATAAATTATTGTTATTCTCTTTTATGAAAAAAGTTTCAGGGACTCATCAACACTCTATAAGGAAAGTTGCTGGATTAGATTTGTGCATGCTTGCTGTGCAAGTGAGTGCTTTGTGTACCTTAGGGGGTGATGTCTGATTTTGGTTGATCTAGCTTTGACTTCAAGATGTTACTTTGTCCTGGTCCCTATTCTGCATCTCCTGGCCCCCCACCCCGCTTCTCAGGAGTCTAATCCGGGGAAGGACAGAGTGGATCCCCGCAGAGACCTTCGGGGTGGGGAGGAAGGAGGCCTGGGGGCCGTTCTCACGAGTCACACACGGGCCAGGCGGCGGGGTAAGCCCGCAGACACACTCGCCAGGCAGACAGAGCAGGCGTGGGATTTAAACCGCCGAGGATGAATCCGCACGTGGGCGTGTTTTACACGGCTGCTGCACCTGGCTCACGCCGGTTCCTTTTCCTGTAGCCTTCAGGTAGGTTGGCAGCAAGACAACCTTTTTTTTTTTTTTTTGCGCAACGGTACCTCTATTGCGGTTTCCAAGTAGGCTCTTCCTGCAAGTGCAAAGGACGTGCGCCCCTTGGAAAGGGTCCCCGCACTAGAACACCAGCCACGTGACTGAATAAATGCCGGCTCTCTGGGGTGGAAGGCTTCTAGGTGGCGTCAGCGGCGCCCCGGGGGCAGCCCTCGGGGGTCTGGACTTTGATTGGCTACCTGGACCGCAAACTGTAAAATGGAGCGCGGCGGGCGCGCAGGCCTCAGTTTCCAGCCCCCACCCGCAGGCGGCCCTGGAGCCCCGCCCGCCGGACCTCCCGCCCCTGGGGGTCCACCTCCGGAACGCCTCCCGCAGAGGCCCTCCTCACGTCCTGTCCTTCACCGCCGCCCACCAATCAGATCTGTCTGCCACGGAGGCATCTCTTTGGAGGGTCCCCCTAGGCCCCGCCCCTCTAGCTCCGGGTAGCCCCTGCGCCCAACCGCTCCGGTGATTGACAGGAGGTCCGGGCGGAAGCTGCGGCGCCTGCGCGCTGTCCGCGTTGCGCTCCCCTCGGTCGGGCCGGCCACTCCCGGCAGACCCCGCGCCGCGCCTGCGCAGTGCGGGGGAGGCTTTTAATTCCATTGTGGAGAGGACGGCGTTATTTTTATTAACCGGAGGCGGCGGCGGCGGCGGCGGCGGCGCGGCGGCGGGACCGTAAGTGCGGGCGGGGGCGGCGCGGCTCGGGCGGGCCGGGAGGAGGGCAGGCGGTGCGCGCGCGCCGCGGGCCTTAGTGCGGGCGGCGGCGGGGCTCCGGGTCCCGCGGCCCGGCCCCACCGCCTCTCCGTCCCCCTCTCCCTCCGCAGCCAGGCCTCCTCCGGGGCATGCGAGTCGGCGGCGGGTTCCTGAGCGGCGGCTCCGGCAGGCGGGCGGAGATGGAGCCCAGCTTCCCGCAGAGCCTGGTCATGTTCAACCACCGGCTGCCCCCGGTCGCCAGCTTCGCCCGGCCGGCCGGCCCGGCCGCCCCTCCCCCGCAGTGCGTGCTCGCCCCCCCCGCGGCCCCGGCCGAGCCGCCCCCGCCGCCGGCCCCGGACATGACTTTCAAGAAGGAGCCGGCGGCCTCGGGCGCGGCCTTCCCGGCGCCGCGGGCCTCCTGGGGCTTTCTGCAGCCCTTGGTCAGCATCAAGCAGGAGAAGCCGGCCGATCCGGACGAGCAGCACCACCACTACGGGGGGCTGTTCGCGGGCGCCGAGGACCGGGGCCTGGGCGGCGGCGGCGAGGGGGGCGGCCCTGGCGTCATCCAGGACCTCAGCGTCCTGCACCAGCAGCCGCAGGCCCCGCAGCACCGCGATGCCCTGCTCGGCGGCGAGGAGCCAAAGCAGGACGCGAACGTCAAGAAGGCGAAGAGGCCAAAGCCAGAATCTCAGGGAATCAAAGCCAAGAGGAAGCCCAGCGCATCCTCCAAGCCGTCTTTGGTGGGAGACGGAGAAGGCGCGGTCCTGTCCCCAAGCCAGAAACCTCATATCTGCGACCACTGCAGCGCGGCCTTCCGGAGCTCCTACCACCTGCGCAGACACGTCCTCATTCACACCGGGGAGCGGCCCTTCCAGTGCGGCCAGTGCAGCATGGGCTTCATCCAGAAGTACCTCCTGCAGCGCCACGAGAAGATCCACAGCCGCGAGAAGCCGTTCGGCTGCGACCAGTGCAGCATGAAGTTCATCCAGAAGTACCACATGGAGAGACACAAGAGGACGCACAGTGGAGAAAAGCCATACAAGTGTGACACTTGCCAGCAGTATTTTTCCAGGACTGATAGACTGCTGAAACACAGGCGCACGTGCGGGGAAGCCATAGCTAAGGGAGCCCCCAGTGCAGACCCTGGCTCCTCGAACCATAGCAACGTGGGAACCCTGGCCGCGCTGTCTCAGGGAAACAGCAGCTCCTCAAGGAGGAAGACGAAGTCCAAGAGCGGAGCCGCTGAGAACAAGGAACACAAGGCCGGGAAGGCAGGCGACGTGCAGCTCGCCGCCGGCAGCGTGAGCATGCAGACGTACTCCGTGGAGATGCCTGCCGTGTCTCCCAGCGGCGGCGTCTTGGGCGGCGGCGTCGACGAACTTCAGAGAAGGGTGCCAAAACTCATCTTCAAGAAAGGAAACAGGAAGAACACAGACAAAAACTACCTGAACTTCGTGTCGCCGCTGCCAGACATCGTCGGGCAGAAGTCCTTGTCCGGGAAGCCCAGCGGCCCCCTCGGCATGGCGTCGGGCGTGGAGACCATCAGCCTTCTCCAGGGCGCGGGCGGCAAACCGGGCCCGATGAACAGCAATTACGACGACGCCATGCAGTTTTCGAAGAAACGAAGATACTTGCCAACTGCCACCAGCAACAGTGCCTTCTCGATCAACGTGGGACACATGGTCCCCCAGCAGTCTGTCATCCAGTCCGCGGGGGCCAGCGTCCTGGACAGTGAGGCCCCGCTGTCGCTCATCGACTCCTCGGCGCTCACCGCCGAGGTCAAGTCCGGCCACGACAAGTCGGGCATCCCCGACGAGGTCTTGCAGAGTATCCTGGATCAGTACTCGAGCAAGTCGGAGGGCCAGAAGGAGGACCCCTTCAACATGGGCGAGACGCGTGTGGATCTGCACGCCTCAGGGGGACACTCAGAGCTGGTTCCGGAAGAGAGCCTGAGCCCGGGCACGCAGACCCCCTCCAGCGACAAGGCGAGCATGCTGCAAGAATACTCCAAATACCTCCAGCAGGCTTTCGAGAAGTCCACCAACGCAGGCTTTACGCTCGGACACGGTTTCCAGTTTGTCAGTCTGTCCTCACCTCTGCACAACCACACTCTGTTCCCGGAGAAGCAGATGTACACTACGTCCCCTCTGGAGTGTGGTTTCGGCCAATCCGTTACCTCAGTGTTGCCGTCTTCGTTGCCAAAGCCTCCTTTCGGGATGCTGTTCGGCTCGCAGCCGGGGCTGTACCTGTCTGCTCTGGACGCCGCCCACCAGCAGCTGACGCCTTCTCAGGAGCTGGACGACCTGATCGATTCCCAGAAGAACCTGGAGGCCTCGCCGGCCTTCCAGCCCGCGTCCCAGAAACTGACCAGCCAGAAGGAGCCGCAGAAGAACCTGGAGTCCTCAGCCAGCTTCCAGATCCCGTCTCAGGAGTTAGCGAGCCAGATGGACGCCCAGAAGGACGTAGAGCCCAGGACGACGTACCAGATCGAGAACTTCGCGCAGGCGTTCGGCTCTCAGTTCAAGTCGGGCGGCAGGGTGCCAATGACCTTTGTCAGCAACTCGAACGGGGAGGTGGACCATCGAGTCAGGACTTCAGTGTCCGATTTCTCAGGGTACACAAATATGATGTCTGATGTCAGTGAGCCATGTAGTACCAGAGTCAAGACGCCCACCAGCCAGAGTTACAGGTAAGGGCCCCACGGGACCGGCTGGAGGCCTCCTGGTGTCATTCTGTTTTGTTCTGAGAACACTGCCGTTGGAATGTTTTACACGATCCTACGAGAATAATGTAATGCCCTTTCAATGCAACTTTTCACATCTAGGTTATTTTGTTAGCGTGATTTTAGCTGTTTCTATTATGATTTTTAATCAAAATCGATAGATTAAAAATAGTTTGACATTCAAAGTGACGATGTTTAGCAATCAAATTTACATGTATAGATGGTCAGGGAATAGCCCAAAAGTTTTAAATGCAAAAAAATAAAAAAAATAAAAAACAAAAAACCCTACAAAAAAACAAAAGGAAAAAAAACACAAAAAAACTTTGTTGCTAGGATTAAGGTTATTCTAATTGCTTTACTCTCAGGAAAGTGTAATAACGCATGGGAATTCTGTACGTTATCACTGTAATGGAATATCCAATTTACAGGTAGTGTGGTATACGTGTCAGCATTTAAGTAAGGGATCGGAAACATTTCACATTGCTCTGGGCCCATAGGATTCGCGAGTTTCATCACCCGAGTAAGGGATCGGAAACATTTCAGATTGCTGTCTCCATCCGGGCTGGTCCAAAATTCTGAGAAGTTGGCTACCTATGTTCTCTTGCAGCTTTTAAATGTACTCTGAACTTCCAAACCACGTTCATTCCAGCCTAGTAGAACAAATATTCTCGGATCTCTGATCAAAGCCTGGAATGATAGCTTTACTAGAAGGAGAAGAGAGCGCGCCCTCGCCTCGCCCCGACTGCCACGCGGCCGCGGTTCCGCCCGGCCCGCGGACGCCGACGAGCACAGTGTTGCGGCCCCGCGCGGGCTCCTCCAGTGTTAGAGGCCGGGTGGCAGCCACACGGCCCTCTGGGTTTCGGGGGGGGGGGGGTGTTGTTACTGTGTATAGCCCACAGACACTGTCCTCTTGTTTACGTTACTATAGGTCACCCACACTTCTGGGGTTTTCGTTCTTTGTTTTTGTTCTCCTTAACCCACCCTCTTCCCAAGAGTTCTGGGCCTTGTTTTCTCTTCCTGTCTTCACAGTTTAAATTTTAGGATGAGTTACATTCCAGTAGGTAATTCATTATGCATTTTACATGCCTGTGGCATCCAAATACTGAATGGTAAGATGAACACCCGGCAGCCCCCACTTTCAAACCGACAACCCACCCACACGGATGCTCACGTGTGACAGTGGCCGCCCGTCCTCGGGGCTGCGGGCACTGGCCCGGCTGGGCTCCCAGTGGTGACACGGCTGACGCGGGGGTGTGCCTGCCCCCAGCGGTGACGCCAGGGGCGCCCTGGAGCCGCAGCCTGGGACGTCCTCTGGAGGTGCGTCCGTCGGCCCGGTCCAGGGTCGCGGGAGGGCGTCACAGCCTGCGCTCCGCCCGAGTGGCCATCGGCCGCCACTGGCAGCAGCGGCTCTGCCGGAACCGCTTTTTAGCCACCGTGTTCCTCTCCCGATTGTGTTTTTAATGTGCTCCGGCGTCGCCGCTGACGCGTTTTTATGTGCTTTGGTGACGTCGCGGTCAGACGTGCTCCCTGACGCCAGGAAAGGGCCGCTGAGTGGGCGCCGGCCCGTCGTGTGACCGGCCTGGCGCGGCCCCTGTACAGCAAAGGAGAGTCATGCGAGCGTGCGACACTCCCGTTACGAAGCAGTGTTTGGAAGACGAGAAATTATTGCAATGGTTGCAGAAGACTAGTGAACCCCCCCACTCTCCTCCCTCTCCAAGTGTGCTTTCCCAGCTAAAGGGTCACCTACCTGTCACTGCAAGATGCTTAGAAAATGTGTTTAATTAACCCTCTCAAGTACACTCGGTTCTCAAACGTCTGTTATCTCTCATTTTGGTAAGCAAGTGCGGTTCCGCTCTGTTGGGGACAGGGCGCAGGCCGTCACGAAGGGCGGACAGGACCTCACCACTGGACCTTAAGGGGTATGATTTCCCTCCGGCGTTTAGTTCCCTGCAGGTTTTGAGTTTCTTTGATAACTTTTGCTGTGTGTACTGAAAACTGCATATGTATTACTCTGATTGTTTGCCCTAGTTTACTACCAATAAAAGACCTGTTACTCACAAAACCGGAGAGAGGAGGTGTCACTTCGTCCCCAGCCCCGCCTTCCAGGTTCCCCGTCACCGACACTTCAGTACATGTTTGTTTGCACCTGGTGTGCCGGGCCGCGGGGACTGGTGTGCCTGCACTTCGGTGCCGCGTGTGTCCGGGGCATCTGGAGACCGGTGGCCGGGGCGTGGGCGCACTGTGTGGAAGGGGAGACAGTTCACGTGTGAGTCAGGGCGTGTCTGGCTGACACTGGGTTGGCCACACTGTGTATTCCAGCGAGATCACCGTTGAGGGTTCGCTCTGAGTCAGATCCCAGCGCCCTGGTCCCCGGCTCAACGCCCTCTCCCCCTCAGAGAGGGTGGCGAGGACGACAGTGGCCCAGGAACGGCGCGAGCGTCGTCAGCAGGGGGTCACGTGCTGCGGGGTCGCTGGCGGTGTGGGGGGCAGACAGACACCCGAGACGCAGCAGAGGGGGCGTCCGGGACTCTGTGGGCCCGCCGGCTGCCAGTCACAGGTTTCACAGGTGCGGGGAGCTGGCAGGCAGCTGTGTGGAGTGCGGAGTCACGGGCGTGTGCTCCGAGCTTCCTCGGCTGCAGGTGCTGAGTTGGGAGTGAGGAGTACCGGACACGGCGGGAGGAGGGCCAGGGACTCGTGTGTACAGAGCACGAACACGGCTGTCTCCGGAGAGGCCTGCCTGCTCGCGGGCCCATGGGACGAGGAGAGGTAAGTCCGGTCCGGCTCTGCCGGGGCTGTCCCCGCATCGGGGTCACCCTCCGGAGCACGGGCGCCCCGCACCGTCCCCCTGACTCCGAGCTGACCTCACGTGACTCGTTTCCACCCGCCCGCCCGCCCCCCTTTCTCTCCCGTGCAGGCGGGGTCTGTGGCTGCGGTCCGGTTGCTCCGGGTTCGGTGCGAAACGGGACACTGCTGCCGTGTTTGCATGGCGCCGAGAGCCTGCCGGTCGGACGGTGATGGGTGGGGCAGCTGAGGAAGGGGGGCAGAAGTGGGACGAGGTCCGCACGTGTGCGGCCAGGTGGGCGCCCCTCGCGTGTGGTTCCCGGCTGCGCCGGGCGGGCGAGAGCGCGGGGCTCCGCCCACCCCCGTGTCTGCCGCCGGCGGCTCCCTGCCAGCTGTCAGGCCGCAGCCGGGCCGTGCGGCTTCCTGACGCCACGCCGTCCTCAGCTCCCGGGGTCGCAGGTTCTTGTTGAGCTGAAGAACTTCCGTCGAGAAAATGGGCCTGTGACCGTCAGAGTGGCACTCTCCGAGTGGCGTGTGTCTGGAGACGGCCCTTTCTGTGGTTTTACGGACTTCGCTTCCTGTGACGGGTGACGACGGGGCTGCGCGTCTTCGGGGAGACGCGGGCCGTGCGGGGGGCTGGGCTGTCCCACACGGGTGTCTGTCCGGGGTCCTCCCTGGGGGTGGGGAGGGCCGGCCGCCCCCCTGGGGGGGGGAGGGCTCCTGGTGTGGGGGAAGGGCGCCGTGTGGAGTCGCCTCTGCCTCCTGGATCCTGCGTCGCCCTGCCTCACAGCGAGGACGGAGGGGCCCCGAAGCAGGTGCCGGGACACTGGCTCGCTCTGGGGCGGGGCTGCCTGACGCTTCTCCGGCCGGGACTCTGGGACTCTGGGCAGCTGGCGACAGAGCTGGCCTCCCAGACCCACCCGTGAACGGAACAGGTGTGCACTCGGGAGTCTGCGAGCCCATCTGTGAGCACGCCCCTCTCCCGCCCCCATAAAAAAGTCTGTTGTTGGTGGGCCCTGGGTCAGGAGGCCCAGGTGGGCGACCGCGTGAAGGTCGTCCGAGCCCCCAGCCGAGTGGAAGGCGTCGAGCGGGACGAAGGGCCCGTGACGTGTCCCCGTTGGCAGCGCAGCCCCTCGGCCTCGGGGGGCCTGGGCGGTGGCACGGAGCCGTGGTCCTGGAGGGGCCTGAGAGCATCTCTGCGGGTCCCCCCCCTCTGACAGCGAGTCCCGCGGATGATCAGGACCCCCGCCCGCGAGGAGACATGTCCGCCGCGTCTCTCTGCCACCAGCTGCTGTGGTTCCTCGGCGCGGAGCAGCCGAGTCCCGCAGCCTCCTCCTGCCGGGGAACGCAGGGGTCTCCGTCCCCGCAGCTGCCCCTCCCAGGCCTGGAGCGGCTGCCGGGCTGCCCTGCACTGCGGGCCCCGCGGGCGTCGGACGGGGCTCTTGGGAAGTGTGGACAACAAGCTGGGAAACGGAAGGACGTGGACCTTGCCCCCGGGGGAACGAGGAGCAGTGGGCAGAGGTCGGGGGGCACGCTTCTCGAGAGCAGGGGACCAGGAAGCGTCTGGAAGGAAGGACTGGGCAGCCCTGTCCGGTTGGTAGCTGGGGAGCGGGGCGAGGCCTGGGGCAGCCCCCCTCCCTCTGCCGCCCCTCAGGCCGGCCTCTGGCGCTTGGGTCTGCAGGGGCCTGGGTCTGCGGTGGGGCGGTTAATGAGTAACCCCGCAGACCTCGGCGGGCAGCGGCGGTCAGCCTGTGCTCGCACCCCCGGTCCAAGGGGCGAGGCCAGCCTTGCTGCTGACGTGCTAAATCTCCTCTTCAGTGACTCCTGACCCCCGGCGGCCGGGTTGGCGGGGCCTTGCGCAACTTGCCTGGCCTGCGCGTTGGCAGCGGCCACGGGAGCCGCAGTTTGTGCATCTCAGCCAGGACAGGGTCTGGGAGGGCAGGCGGGTGCCGTGTCTCGGCCCCCCCGAAAGAGAAGCTTGGGGGTGCGCGTGTGTCCGGGCGGAGTGACGACGAGCACCAGCGTGACTGACTGGAAAAGCCGGACACGCCCTCCTCGACGTTTTGCTAAGTTTTGCTTCGAAAAGCGTTTAATTTCCACTGTGACCAGCTCATTGGTTCATTCCACCCTAGATGAGAAGGGTGTTTCCAAGCACACCCATTGGGAAGTTGACGTTTTAGTAGAGAGTTACAGCTTTAATCTTCCGTTCTGGGATAAGTGCACCTTTCCAAACCTGGAGATCTGGAGGTGACACACTTTTCGGTCACCCTCTAAGGAGCGGGTTGCGAAGCTGAGGGACCAGACCAGCAGCGTGCGTGTCTGCTTGGTGTCGGGTCACACGCACGCGGGGCTGTGCCCCGGGGAGGGCGAGTGCAGATGCCACAGAGAGCCCCTTCTCCCGGGGGTGGGGGGGCCGTGCACGGGTCGCGCTGTGGGGCTCGGGGAACAGACAGCCCCTGACCTTGGCCAGCACTGCGCGGCGGAGGCTGGGAGAGGGCGCTCTGAGCTCCTGTTTTCTTCCCCCGGGCCCAGACCGCGGGCGGGCTCAGGAGAGGTCGGGCAGCAGATGGGTGAGAGCTGGAGTTTTCCGTGCAGCAGGGGGGCGAGGTCGAGGCACGAAAGTCGCGGCAGAGACGTTTGCCCCGACTGCACCCAGCCTGCAGACCTCCCTCCTTCAGACGCGCCACGTCGGGGCAGAGAGCCGGGCCGCGGAGCCGCGTGAGTGCGTTAGGTCAGCGCAAGGAGACCCCTTGTCCCGGTGTCTGCCTCCGCCCTGATGCGGCGGCCTTGCGGCGAACCCCTGGAGCCCGAACCGGTTGCCGGGGAGGCTCAGGTTGCGGTGCGTCACCGGGGACTGGGCCGCTCTGCGGTCCGCAGGCCCTGCCGCAGGAGCTCCGGGCGCCCCGATCTCTCCTCTTCCAGGCGGTGCCCGGCCCGCCGGCGTCCGTGCTCAGCCCCGATGGCGGGTGTGTGCCGTTTCGCTGCTCTCTTCAAGCTTCAGTTAAGAAAGTTTGCAGGAGTAACCTGAAACCATCGCACTCGCAACTTCTTCAACTGCCCGGCTCCTCGGTTAGGGAGGAAGTCGGGCTGGGACTGGACTGCACGCGGTCAGCGCGGGGTTTGTCTGCGAACTGAAGGCCTGCGCCTGCGGGGCGCGGGCGCGGCGTGAGACTCGGGGCTCCGGAGCTGGCGAGGGGGCCGCCCCAGAAGGGGGGACGGACGCGGCAGCTAGTGCAGGAGGGCCGTCCCCGGATCGGAGCCGCAGCCCAGGTTCTGTTTGCCGGGCTGCGGCGCAGCGCGGGCGGGCCTGGGAGCTCCCAGGCGGGGCGTCGGGCGTGGGGTCCTGGCGAACGAACGGGCGGGGGTTCTGGGGGTTCCTGCCCGTGAGCCAGGGAATGTGCCGCGAAGGCAGAACGGAAACGGGTTTGGGGGTGTCTAGAGATGACTGGCAGCATGAATACGAAGTCACAGTGTCTCGTTTTGTTCGCTCTTTGACTTGATCAGACCTCGGACTGGTGTTGGGCAAGCGGAGAGAGGAATATGAATGAACGATGTAATGGTATTTTTGCTGGCGATGCTAGTACACATGACCTGTCAAAAGGAGGAAAAGTAATATTTAGGAGAAGATGGGGGAAAGGGAGCACTTTCATAATAGTGTTTTTCTAGTAAGAACACTTGAATTTATTTGAAACTGTCAGAGTTTGAATTATTGTACCTCTGTGGGGGAACTTCTTAATTTGGGAAAAAGTACTATCACAACTAATTTGTATTGCGAGGTAAAAGAACATTTTCATCCTCAGCTAAATATCGCGTCCCAGAGAGAGAATTGTAATGGGACAGCGTTCCATGCCGGTGAGGTTGGACGGGCTGGGTGTCTAACCCTGGAGCCCCCCCGTCCACGGCGGTCAGCGATGGATGTGTCCTCCTGGTTCCCAGGCCCGGAGGGGACACGGTGCGTCTCGTGGTTGAGGGAGCAGCGGCCACTCTGGACGGTCCAGCCGCTCACACACTGCCCTGTGCTCGGCGGGGGCTGCGCTCTGGGGGTGGTTCTGCGTGGCCGCAGGCCCTGGCTGCGGGGAGCCGGCCGCAGGGCCACGCCGGCCGGCGTCTGAGCAGTGGGACGTGGGAGCAGAGGCGCAGACTGCGCAAGGGACGTCCTCCCTGTGCCGCTGGCGGGGTGCTGTGGGGGCCGCCTGGGGACAGCGGTGCAGGGCCGGAGGTCCGTTCTCACCACCTACCCCCCCCCCACCGGGCTTGCTCTGCGATGAGACGTTTAGAGCC